CGCGGCGGTTTCTTCGCCGGCTCTGCGGACCCCCGGAGGCTGTGAGGTGAGGCGGTTTCCGAGCGCCGCTGCGACGGAGCGTGGAGCGGGCCCCGCCGTTTCCGTTCCCTCCCCGGCGATTCCCGCCGGCCCGGCGGCTCCCGAAAGCGGCCAAGCCGGCCCTCCGCGCCGCGGCGCATGTTGGGAGATGTAGTCTTTTGCGGGGGCCTTCGAAGCCGCGGGACTACCCAGCATGCGCCGCGCCTGATTCCCGGCGGAAAGGCTGGCTCGCGGGGAGGGAGGGAGGGAGGGAGGAGGCGGGGAGGAGCCGCGCAAAGGCGTTCTGACGTCATAAGGAGCGGGGCGGGCGTCGCTGTTGCGAATGGCCGGGCGTCCCCCCCGACGCGCATCTGATTCCGGGGGAAACTGAACGTGAGAAGAGGCCTCCGGTGCTGAGCCAAGGTGGGTCCAGGGGGGCCAGCCAGCAGTCTGGTTCGTCAGGGCGTGGAGGCCTCCCGCCTCCTCGTCCCAACTGGGGCTGCTGGCGGCGCAGCAGTTCGCAGGATTTGGGAATTTTCTGCCCCGCGTGTTAAGCGTAACGTCTGAATGCCCCGCGCTGGAGCAGAAGAGCCCCTTGCTGGGGCAGGTCTCGAAGCAGCCTGTTCCCAACAGCAGGTGACTTTCCGAGATATACTGCTTCTGAGCATGGAGGCTCCACTTAGTTCTCAGGCCTAAGGGGTGTTGTTGCGAATCCCGTCCTCTGCTGATTTCTGGGACCCTTCCCGAGCAGAGCCCCGCTGGATCAGACCCAGGGTCCCACGTGGCAGGGAGGCTTGTTTCTGACAGCAGCCAGGCTGTTCACTGCTGACCTCTGGAAATCTGCAGGCAGGGTGTGAAGCTGTAGGCGTCCCTGTTCTTGGTTCTCCGTCACTTGGAACTTGGAGGTGCACTGCCTTGCAACATGGAGGTTCCATTCAGCTGTCAGTTGGGGAGGGGGCCGTTGCTCAGTGGCAGAGCCTCTGCTTGGTATGCAGAAGGTCCCAGGTTCAGTCCCGGCATCTCCAGTTAAAAAGGACCAGGCCAGTGATGGACCTCTGCCTGAGACCCTGGAAAGCAGTCAAGAGGGGCTGTGGCTCAGGGGCTTTGCATGCAGAAGGTCCCAGGTTCAATCCCCAGCGGCATCTCCGGTTAAAAAAGACCAGGCAGGAGGTGGTGGGAAAGACCTCTCCCTGAGACCCTGGAGAGCTTTCAAGAGGGGCTGTGGCTCAGTGGAAGAGCCTCTGCTTGGCATGTGGAAGGTCCCAGGTTCAATCCCCAGCAGCATCTCCAGTTGAAAAGGAACCAGGCAGGACGTGATGGGAAGGACCTTTCTCTGCCTGAGACTCTGGAGAGCTGCTGCCATTCTGAGTAGAGGAGAGTGGCCCTTGATGGACCGCTGGTCTGGTCCAGTGTAGGAGAGGTCTGTGTGTGTTCATGTTTCAAGGCTGTTCACTGCTGACAGCACCATGCAGCCCAGTGCCCGTCACCACTCCTTGTGGCAGCGAACTCCATGGGATAATTGCAGGTTTGTTAATCCATCAGGGTACCGTTTCAAGGCCCGACCTTGAGTGCCGCTGGGATGAAAGGCGGGGCCCTTCCCGCTCGTCACCTGGCCTCCTAATCAGCCTCTGAACTAAATAGCCCTAAACGCTTAAGCTGTTCTCCGATCCCTGGGCTCTCTCTCTCGCGGCCTCATTTACCTCGTACGGTTATGGCGAGGTGCAAATGCTGCGCTGAAGGGGAAGAGAAGGTAGGGATGCGGAAGATTGTGCTGGCTGCTGTGAAAAATAGAATGGTGGGCTCGGGTGGGGTCATTGGCCTGATCCCGCGCGTGACAGACCATGAGCCCAGTGGTCTTCCGGTGTGGTGCTCAGTCCTGGAAAACATACAAAGGGATGTCACCAAGGGTGAGTGGCCTCTCTTGGGTAACTTTTCCACCCTCTCTCTCGGGGGACTGGGCAGCTGTTCCGCGTGCTGGCAGGAAGTCCGAGCCGCACAATAACAGGACCGCTGCATGTGCCGTTGGGTGCATCGTGAGAAGTGTCCTGCTTCGGTGGCTCCCTGTGTTGGCGGATGTGCTGTCTGCGTGCCAGTTCCCGTGTAGCTCAAAAAGCCTGTACTTTTTCCGCAAAAGAAATTAATCCCAGGAGTGTGGAGCCACAGTTTGTTTTCACGAGTCTCTTCTTGTGAGTTCTTCTCCGAGAGGCTGCAGGGAGTGAACCTGTGCTTGCCGCTCACGGGGGGGGGGGGGACGGGGGGGGCCCTCCCACAGCCGTGTGTATCTCGTGATGATGGAGAAGGGGGCTCTGATGGAAGGGCGGCAGGGATGGGGGGGGGATGACAGTATTCCCTCTCAGCTGAGTCAGGGTGAGCTTGCTCACAGTTTTTTAGCCTCCGGCCCAAACATTTTTGTCTCAGCTCAGGAAGGATGGGGCTCCAGAGCAAACTGATTTATGCAGGAGCCAAATCGCTCGCTCACAGCTTTAATGCCCGTAGCTCACAAAGTAGAATTTTGGCTCACAGGACTCCACAGCTTGGAGGGAGCGTTGGAGAGGACCGCCCCCCTAGTCTGTGTTATCTCCTTTCACAGGGCAGGAGGGGGGGGCACCTGCCCTCTTTTAGGGACAAGAGCGGCAGAGCCGAGGGTCTAGCAACCCGAGACTCTTGAAGTGCCCGGGAGGATGTAACAGAGGCAGCGTTCCCTTGAGGAAGAAAGAGAAGCCTGCATGTGTTGCTTGTGCCATAGACCAGGTTTGATCCCTACACCTTGGGCAGGGCAACTAGATTCAGGTCCAGGAGCACCTCAGGGCTTGATAAGATTTTCGGGTCGTAAGCTGCCGAGAGCCAAAGGGAGCTCATACCCCGGAAATCTAGTCGGCCTCTGCGGTGCTCCTGGACTCGAATGCAGGGAATCCAGGGATGCCTTTAGTTCGTGCAGCTATATGTTGGCCAAGGAGCGGTTCTGAACTCACTTCTTTGGGGGCCTGAGTCGGGAGGGCTGAGGCTCAGAGGACCCCGCTTGGCGCTGCAGAGGTCCCCAGCTTCCAGCCCCGGCACCCTTGGTTCAAAGGATCGGGTAGCAGGTGGCGCGAGGAGCCTTCTGTGCCAGAGGCACTGACTGTCAGAGGAGACGCCCCGAGCAAGGCAGGGTAACCTGATACAAGGCGGCTTCATGTCACCCTCTCCGAGGGCTGAGGGCAACACTCCCTGCCGGCCATGTATCCTTGTTCGCCAGAGCCAGCGCTCAGGGAGCCTTTGCCAGCAGACGGTGCCTGGGAGGCTGGAGTGGGCGGGAGAGCCGGCCAGCCCCGTCTGAGGTTATCTCGGACGTAGGTGCCTGAGAATATCTGTGCAGGGCCCTCTTTCTGTCCTTGAGCGTTCCGGAGACTTCCAGGGCTTCCCGGAACGGAGCACGGATTGGAGTCAGCTCCGGGCAGAGACCGGAAGAGTGTTTTTATCGCATCCTCCCAGGCCTCCTGTCCTGCTCCTTTCCTGGGTGCTGCGAAATAATCCCGCCAGTCCGAACTTTCCCCCCCAAGACGATCTGGTCTTTTGTCCAGGACTCCTGGGCCAGCCCTGCATCTTGGGCTGAACATGTGGTCCCGCTCCCTGTCTTGTGCGACACCCAAGGCACCCGGCAGGTGATCTGTAGGCTGTTCTGATCGGGGGGGGGGGAGCCAGCCTTTGGGCGTCTCAGCTCCGTCACTCCCCAGTCCTCCCCGCAGGTGAGATTTCTGCAAACATCCAGCCTCCAGACTGTCCTGGGCAGGTTTTGGTCCAGAAATAGGAACTGTCCCCACCCACCCCATGGCACACGCGCGTTAGGAGCCCACATCAGTTCCTCACGCCAATACCGATCAGGAGCACAGGAGAGCTGCTCCGTGCAGACCGGCTGATCCTCAGCAGGGGCCGTAAGACTTTATTTTTAAACGGCGCTAGTGCAAAGCGCCCTTGCCGAGGTCCCTTTGCCGCGGGCCGGAGTGGAGGAGAGCTGGGGGAGGGAAAGGGGTGGTTTCTTCTCTTCCACAGCAGGAGAGGTTGCCCACACGTGGGACTGCGCTGCGAGTTTGCCTAGAGCGAGAAGGACGAGGAGATGAGAGGGCTGCCGTCTGTGCATGTTTACGTGGGAGCCAAGCGCATGGGATTCAGTGGGACCGTCCGGGGACAGGGTTGAGCTCTGAGCAGCGCCTGTGCTGTTGGAAGAACAGCAGCGAGGGGGAGATGGGAGGCAGGGATCCAGAGCTCTGTTAACGTCCGAGAAGGGCGCTGGTTGTGTAGTGAGACGGTCCTCCGCCTGCCCTTCATTCCTTCGGCAGAGCGTCGCCTGCCTTCTTGGGGGAACTCGATCTTCTGTCTTGTCTGTGGGCTTCCTCGAGGCAGGCGGTCAGCCGCTGCGGGAGCAGAGTGATCCAGCGTGGCTCTTCTGCTGTTTCTTTTCTTTTTTCCAAGAAGGTCAGCGTTCATACAAGTGCCCTTGCCGCGAAGTCCCAAAGGGGACAGGCATCTGAGACGTAAACAAGGTGCTTTGGGGGCTGCTGGCGGCTCAGTGCGTGTCCCTCCCTCGGGGCTTTCTCCGCTCACGAAGCACCAGGCAGGAGAAAAGCTTTGCAGAGTGCGGCCCTCTCGGCCGGTCCCGGAGATGCGGAACGTGGGTTTCCCAAGACAGCTGGGCGGCCAAACGCCGTCCTTTCCCCCGCTCCGTGCCTTGGAGACGGAGCACAGTTGTCCTGAAGCCTCACAGTGCTGTGCTGGCTCCTTCCAGAACGGAGACAGTTCTTGGCCGGTCCCCCGTCAGGCCAGCAGCCTTCGGTTCTCCTCTCCTGGGACCTCCTGACAACAACAACCCCCCCCTTTTCTGTGCACTCCGATGCCTTTGGCTTGCACCATTCTGAAGACTGGTGTGTGAGGGGGGGGATTGGATTACTGCAAGCCGCCGCACCCCCCCCCCCCATTCCCAGTGGCTCAACCCAGCTGCCCAGAGAGTTTGGCAGTTGTCGTGCAATGCAGGGGAGCCAGGGCCCGTCTGCGGCGGAGGGATCCCCCCCCCTCACTGGGACCCCGAGAAGACCCGAACCCGGTCAGGAGTCGCCTGGGGGGCCCCGGGCTGTCCTGAGCGCCTTGCCGTGAGAGGCAAGCGAGTTTTTTCTGTACGTGTGTGTGTGGGGGGGGTGTCTTCGTTCCTGGAGGGCTCCAGTGTGCATATTCCTGTCCCGGCAGCCTTGGGAGGCAGGAGCAGGCTTGGAGAGTCCCTGGAGAAACCTCCCCTGATGTGAGGGGCCTGGTGGTCTTGGAGCCACTGGGGTGTGTGGGTGTGTGTTGTGCTGGGCTCCGATTGGTCCTCTGTGGCCTCTGGTTTCTGGTGGGGGGGCCTGGCTGGAACCGTGGGGGGCGGGTGGAGGGAGGGAGGGTTGTGGTGAATGAATCTTAGCTGCAGCTCCACAGCCCCAGAAACGGCTTTGCACGAGGGAGCTGCGCTTGGATTCTCCGCAGAGAAGACATCCACCATGTGTGTGTGTGTGCGGGGGGGGGGCAGTGCTTGCTCGCTGTGTCTGGCCTGGAGCTGGGGGTGTGTGGCTGGCCGTGGGCGCAGCTCAGGGCAGTGCTTGGACCCTCTTTCCCAAAATTTTGCCTTCCGCTTCCCCTTCGGCTTCTCTTTCCGGGAGGAAGTGTGCACGGGCGACTGACAGGTTCGGTGAGGCGGGGCTGTGCGTCTGGGGGCAGGGTTGGTGGAACCTCTGAGGGCCCGGAGGGCTGGCCGGGTGTTTGGTGCAGCTGGCCGGTGCCTCACGGCGGGTGGAGTGTCCAGCTCGGCTCTCGGAGCCCCAGGTTCCAATCCCCCTATCCCCCTGCAGCCATGAAGCTCTCTCTCTGTCAGCATGCTCCACCGCACAGGGCTGTTGTGAGAACAAAAGAAAGCCAACCAAAGAGGGATGAACATGTGGGATTCACGGCCACAGGAGGTGGTGGCAGCTACAAGCCTGGATGGCTTCAAGGGGGAATTGGATAAACACGTGGAGCAGAGGTCTGTCAGTGGCTGTGAGCCACAAGGTACAGATAGGGACCCTCAGTCCGGGGGGGGGGGGGGGGGGGGGGGCGCGGGGGTGTGTGACACAGAGTGTTGGACTGGGTGGGCCATTGGCCTGATCCAGCATTGGCTTCTCTCTTATGTTCTTATAGATAAGCATATGGAGCAGAGGTCCATCAGTGGCTATGAGCCGCAAGGTATAGATAGGAACTCTTGGTCTGGGGCAAGGGATGCTCTGTATTCTTGGTGCTTGGGGGGGAGGCAACAGTGGGAGGGGCTTCTGGTGTCTTGGCCCCACTGCTGGACCTCCTGGTGGCCCCTGGTATTTCTGGCCACTGCGTGACACAGAGTGCTGGACTGGATGGGCCACTGGCCTGATCCAACATTGGCTTCTCTTATGTCTTTACGTCTGGGGGCAAGTGATGCTCTGTATTCTTGGTGCTTGTAGGGGGGGGCAACAGTGGGAGGGCTTCTAGTGCACCTGTTATTTTTGGCCACTGTGTGACACAGAGTGTTGGACTGGATGGGCCATTTTGCCTGATCCAACAGTGGCGTCTCTTATGTTCTTAACTGTGCATGCTGCCCAGAGCACCTTGGGAAGAAGGGTAGGCTCAAAAAGGCCCTGGGTGGGTGAGTCTAGGCAGCCACTCCTGTTTTCTTTGGAATGGATTTTTTCCTGGGGAATGTCCAGATTTGGGGAGTGGGGGGGGTACGCACGTGCCCCCTGGGGGAGACAACTTGAGGCTGGATTAGGTGCCTTGTCCCCTGGAGCACAGCACGTGGGAGGTGTGTGGACGATCGTGGTGCGTCTGCTGTCACAAGCCACGGGGAGGATGGACGTGGTCGCTGTGGGCACCTCTCCGCCTGTGCGAGGCAAGGGGACTCCCACCTTTCGTGGGCAGCGGCGACTCCTGACCGAGTGCAGCATTTTCCCAAAGATTAGAAGTTTTCCAGCGGCCGCTTGGGAACCATTTTACAGATCTGTTCCGTTCCTTGGCGAAATGTGAAAAACTTTCCTCGTGTGCATTTTAAAAATGAGAATTGTGATTTTTAGGGTGCAGGAGATCGGACCTATCAAATGCCTCGTGCTCTCCTTTTTGTTCTCAGGCCAGGTTTTTAATAGCCGCGCTTTTAATAGTCTGTGGATCTGAACGGATTTTATCCTCCGGTTTCATTGTCTGGAGCTGCCCAGGCCCGCGGGTACTCTGGGGGTGGGGTGGGGGGGCTCCTACATTGTCAAAATAAACACGTGGACTCCAGGCCTGCAGCTCAGGAGGGAGCTCGGGGG